ACCAGACAAAAAGTCAAGTTTAAACCAGACCAAAAGCCAAGTTTAAATCAAACAAAAAAACAAGTTAAAACCAGAGTAAAAGCCAAGTTTAAACCATTCTAAAAGCCAAGTTAAAACCAGACTAAAAGCTTAATTAGAACCAGACTGAAAGCCAAGTTTAAACCAGAGAAAAAGCCAAGTGGAAACTCTATCAAATCAAGTCTGAGACTAAGTTTAAACCAGACCCAAGGCCAAGTTAAAACAGACTAAAAGCAAAGTTTAAACCAGACCAAAAGCCAAGTTTAAACCAAACAAAAAGCAAAGTTAAAACCAAACAAAAAGCAAAGTTAAAACCAGACAAAAAGCCAAATTTAAAAAGACCAAAAGCCAAGTTAACACCAGATCAAAGGCCAAGTTTAAACCAGACCGAAAGCAAAGTTTAAACTAGACCGAAAGCCAATTTTGGAGCAAACAGGCTGAGCCAAAGCCTGGCGGCTGCCTCCTACCTGGCACTTCTTCTTGTGGATGTGGATGTCTCCTGCGTCTGAGCGCGTGCAGACGGCACACGTCACCACGTAGTCCAGCTGGAAGACAGACGGCACCTGAGTGAGTCCACCAGAATCTGCCTTTGACGGGAACTTACAGGAAAAAGGGCTGATCTGTCCAGTTTAAAGCTAACGCTAAAGCTAGCCGAAGCTAAATCTGAGATGCTACCAGACCCACAACCTCCAAATCTGAATCCAGACTCAAAAGCAGCACAAAACCTGTTGAGTACCATATTTTCTGGGCTTTAAGGCGCATTGAATAAAGCTCCAGTCAGTTCTGGGGCTGCGTTAGCATCCACCAGCTAAAGCTAAGCTAAAGTGAACATAAACTAATCAGTCAGACTTCATTAATAAAACACAAACCAGCGTTCTGACGAATCCGTTCACTCCCAAAATGAATAAACAGCTGTTCTATTATTTTAGCTAATGTCCTCAATTCAGTAAATGACAGAAACAGTCTGGTACGCGACGGTAAATTAAACATTAGCGCATCACAATATATAGCAGCTAGCATAAAGCTAACCAGCTTTTCTCATATAAAAAAGTAAAACCGCCAGTATAGAAATATTTGAACTACCTGTTGTCACAGTTTTAGCTACTTCTTCTACTTCTTGTATTTTTACTTCTTCTACTTTGACTTCTTCTACTTCTAATACCGATACTTCTACTTTTAAACCACTTTTTAAACTACTTTTACTATTACTTTTTATACTTCTTCTACCTCTACTTCTTATACTTCTTCTACTTTTACTTCTTAGAATTCTTCTACCTATACTTATACTTCTTCTACTTTTACTTCTTCTACTTCTTCTACCTCTACTTCTACTTCTTATACTTTTACTTCTTATA